ATGTGTTTTGCAAGAGCGCATATACGGGTTAATGAAGTCAATTACCTCCCAAGAAGTTTTAAACCTAAGATTGTATAGGTACTAAAAATGTATTACATAGTCTTAATAATTACCATTATCCCCAGACTAAAACTCTGGATGCGCTACTGGTGTTTTGCATAACTAAGATGGGGATTTGTTTTGGACTACCGGTTATTGAACAAACAAATAGAAGTTGATAAATTTCCATTGTCTTCAATTACAGATATTTAAGACTCCTTGTCAGATCCTGCTTATTTTTCTCACCTTTAACTTATATTACATCAAAAATGTATCTAAAGTTTTCCAAAGATTAAGAGACGTAAATTTAGAACTTAATTCCAACAAGCGTGAATTTTTAAAAAGGAAAATTCTATATTTGGGACACACTATTTAGACAGAAGGGGTTTCACCAGCGGCGGACGTAATTTTGGCCGGTAATCCCTCGCCTACCTGCATAAAACGAAGGGTCCATCTAATGACAATCGTAATTTCGGCCGAGGTTAATGTTTATGATAGGATTTTGGAATGAACCTGAAAATCTAAACAAAATTGAGAATAATATTACAACGAGACTTGAACTGATTCCAGGCCGCATAGGTTAGGTAAATTAGTTGTTTTTTTTAAGTTATAATTTTAAGTACCTACATTTAAGTTGTACATACGTTATGCTTTTTGATTTTGGTTTAATAAAGAACACTTAGAATATTATATTTTATTTTACCTGCTCCTTTCGGCCGAAAATACTTCTTATACGATAAGAACGAACCCTTTAAGTATCGGTCCTGATTCCGGCCGAGATTACATCCGTTCTTAACCAGACCCTAGAAAAACGAAGTCTTAAAAAATTATCCTTCAATGAAACAAAGATATTTGTATTGTTAGCCCTTTAGATAAAATAACTAGAATGACGAAAATCCTTTGAAATAGAACATACCTTACAAAATTCACCTATTCGAATATAATTATTTTATTCTAAAAACTAATTCATCCGGTTAGATATGCAATTGGTACCGTTTTATCTAATGGAAATGATAACCATATTGTATATGCCAGCAGAGGATTAAATAAAAGGGAGAAAAAATACAGCACAATTGAAAAGGAACTTTTAAGTATATATTGGGCAGAAAATCACTTCGGGCCAAACCTGTATCCTAGACACGTTGTTATTGATAGTGACCATTGTCCGCTTTTGTATCTTTTTGAAATAACAAATTTTTCCAGTAAACTTACTAAATTTAGGTTATTACTTGAGGAATTTTACTATAAAATACATTAGAGGTAAAAATAAAGTAGCAAACGCTTTGTCCCGAGTCTAATTGCTAAAAAGCTAACAAATTAAAAAAAATGTCTTGATTCCAATCTAGAAAGAATAAATGATCACCCTGGATTCGCAATTAAGACGACCAAAGTTAACAGTGAGTAAATTTAAAAATGATGTTGAATAAATATATAGTAGCTGTTTTTTTAGACCTAAAACGTGCATTTGAGACCATTGATAGGGGATTTTACTTAAGAAAATTCAACAATATGGTATAGGTGGAAAGGTATATCACTGGCCGAGTGATTATCTGCAAGGTGGTAAACAAAAAGAACGTTTTAACAATTAGATATCTCCCGTGATTAACATTGACACAGGGGTTCCGCAAGAAAGTGTCCTAGGGCCTCTGCTTTTTATACTATATTTAAATGATATTGTTGATTGTGAATTTATTAATCACCTTTGCTGATGACACCTGCTAGCATACTCTGATAAATTTAATTATTGTAATCGAGAAAATGAATAAAATACTGGAGAAAGTTACTCAGTATTTTCGACTTAATAAATTGAAATTAAATGTAACTAAAAAAAGCACTTATTTTTGTAACTAAAGAAAAATATAGCTTACTGTATATCAATGATGTTAATTTACAAATAAAGGGTGAAAAATTCGTAATACTATTAAGTATTTAGGTATCTAATAAGATAATTTACTTAATTTTAAAGATTTCTTTAATTATATCAATAATAAAATTTTTAAAAAAATTAATTTTTTTCTAGAATTTCAAATAACTTCAACTAAAATAACAGTGTATAATACAATTATTCAGCCTCACTTCGATTATTGTGCCTCCATTCTTCATTTATTTAATCTCAACAAGTTAAATCAACTTCAAAAACTACAAAATCGAGGCATGCGCATAATTTTAAAAACGAATCGTCTTACACCAATTGTCACAATTTTAAATTCTCTTCAATGGTTTTCGGTCCAGCAGAGGTTGTACAATTATATTTATTGTTATGTGAGCCATTTCATTATTTAGTCATGCTCTAATCCTCCAAGTCCTTCTCTGTCTTATTTGGCCTTTGAGGCTCAACTTGTCCGATTATCATACATAAACCCCTTAAGACCAAACATATGTGATGACTATGGCAGAGGCACTTTCGCGAACATTCCTGAGTCAACGTGATAATGTTTCTGGTATATTCCGGATATGAGATGTTTTGGTGGAGGAGCATTCTGGAATCACCAATTTGTATATAAATATTGGTGGAGGATCAACAAAAAGTCATTAGTAGATAGACAGTGGTGAATATAAATAGTGAACGATTCAAAGACATTCTAAATATATATAAATTAAAATAGTAGTGTTATAAAATAAATGTTTAAATAAATTATTAATAAATAACCTGTTTTTTAAAATAAACAAACATCACATTATTTACAAAATAATTCATTCTTTGACCCCACCTTATGTTCATTAATTCATTTGTCATCATGAATATATTCATGATTACGGCACAAGATCAACTAATGACATATACATTAAAAAAGTTAATTATTCTAAATCAAATGCATCTTTATTGTATAAAGGTTTCCAAGAATACAATGAACTGCCTAGGCACTTGAAAGATTGTGATTCTTTAGCAAGTTTTAAAAAAAATTAATTAAGAATTATTAAAACTGATAAAATTTTAACTTTTTACTCTTCTTTTTTTTTAATATTTGTGTTCATACTTTCAACTGTTGTTTTATTGTTAAGTAAGGCTATCTAAACTCAAGATTGAAAGTATCTTTTTAATGTGTAACACATTTTTTTACTTTTAACTTGGATTATGTTAATAATAATTATCTTTACGTTTTAAGTGTGTAACTGCTGTTGTATTTTTAAACTATATTTTTTTGTATATTATGTTTATCCTATTTCAATGAAGTATCTATCTAAGTATTCTTTTCAACTTTATCCGATATTGCAGGATTTTCATAAAAATAAAAAATCTTAAAGCATTCTGCAGGTTCTCCTAAGTTTTTATAGATACTTCGAGTTTTTCGGATGTTCTATTCGGTGTTAATATGGTATATTGTAGATGTTCTTTAAATTGATAAGACTTATTATTTAGTGTATTAGTAAAATGAGTATTTTTTTAATTATTTAACGTCGTCTTAGTTCTAACTGCGAGGTTTAAACACCTACGCTATTAAGCACGCTTCCCCATAATACCGAAAATTTAGCTGGTGTTCCAACCAGAGGTAGGAATATTTAATGGGCCCAATATCCATGGACTCGGGACCGACGGCTTTACATCTTCTCCGAAAGATAGCACACACCTCGCTATACCTCGTACTCATTGATATAGCGCCTGTCAGTTGTGGTATGCAACTACACAGGCAGTTCGTTTGGGATTTTATAGCTGCACCGAGTTTCCTTGGATAGTCACACATCCAAGTACTAACTGCGAGCATCCCTGCTTGACTGCTTAAAGATTTACAACATTCGTAGTGAGTTGGTACATTAATGTTGTAAAGGCAAGCTTGTCATATTTTGTCATTGTTTCTCTACTGTAAGTGTGAATTATTGAGCTGTCACATTTTATTAATTCGTGATATAATCTATTGAATACAATTAATTAAATTGGGACTATGGATAATTACATAATTTAGCTTAAATTATCTTATGAGATTATCCATAGTCCCGATAATACAATGGATTCTGCTCTTGAACATTTCCTTACTATTTCTTCATAGCGTAACTTTCTTCTGACTGAAGTTCTTTTTGATTATCCTAATACCCCAAACGTACATAACCCGAAAAATATCACATTTGCTTTCGTTGAAAATATATTACACATACTTAGGGTTTTTTACCCTTTCTAAATATGTTAATATATAAAAACTAAAATCATGGTTTTCACCTTTGGCAAATATTTTAGAGCTCGATTGCGCTATGATAGTCCTTTTGCAAGCAAGCGACCGAAAAATGGAAAATTCTTTGAAGGAAATATTAGTCTTTGTCGCAATATGGAAATAGCGCGGATGTTTAAGGCATTACATTTTCGCTCTTTGACCTCAAAATTCATTCAATAATTTTGGACTAAGATTTAAAAGAAAGACGAAACTCAAATCTGAATTATATTTTTAGTTTCTTATATTGCATGAACTTTTATTTTCTCTTTTATATGGATCTACTGGTTTCTAAGTACTGGAATGACATTGTAAATTTGTATTTTCCATTTCTTTCAATTGGAGTAAGGGGGCGGGTTGGCTCAGTGGTTAGAATCATGAATTTGAGGTCGAAAGGTCTCAGGATCGAATCCCACCGGTGACAGGAATTTTTATTTAATAAAAAAATTAAATATCAATTTTAAAGCATAGGTAGGATTCCCCACTCGACCATCCACTGTTGGATTCTAATTAACAGTGCTGTTCCTGAAGTGGCGCTGGGAAACAGTAACAAAGCCTACACAGAACACACATTAATAAGAAGATAAACACACACTGAGACTGGCATATTAGGTATATACACCTAGGCCATAAAACGAAAAAACAAAATTGGAGTAAAGTCAGCTAGCTAGTAAATGGGATTCTTAATTGTTTGGAAGCCCCAATATTATACATAATAATTTGATATTGGAGTGAGTGTTTAATAATTAATCGTACAAATTATTATTTACAATTCAAAAGTACTCTAATTTCTAGTAAACAATATTTTATTTTTTTCAGGTTTGAGAGTACCCACAACAAATTTTACAATAAACGACGTCAGAATGTGTGTAGGGTCCCGTCGACTTTTAGACGTTATGGACGTCAACACGCAAAAGAATAGCGAAATGTCCATGAAGGAATGGCAAAAGTATTACGAGGATCCCGAAAAAGACAAACTTTTAAATGTGATATCGTTAGAATTCTCTCACACTAAGTTAGAAAACTATGTACAAAGTCCTACAGTAGTCAGGTAAAAGATAATTTCCTATAAATAATGTACTATTCATTTATAGTCCAGTCATACTGTCCTGCCGAAGGGTCAATGCGACTCGAAGGGCCGAATATCGACTTTTGATTTTTTGCAAACTTCCTGTTAGTTTCGAATAGGTTTGCCCGTTCTTTGAGGTATCTCAGCACACAGAAATAAATTATGAACACATGATCCGTATGATTGGACTATTATTACTGTTTTGATCTAACCCACGTAATTTTCTTTTAGCTACTCTCCTTTTATTTATTTATTTTTATTTATTTATTTTTATTTATTTATTTTTATTTATTTATTTAATTTAATTATTTAATTTAATTTGTATTACAGACAAATAGATTGGGTAGACTGCGTATGGCCTAGGCATCTAAAAGAAAGCCAAATAGAAGCTACAAACGTCCTAGAAGAAATGAAATACCCTAAAGTTCAAAAATACTGCCTTATGTCCGTCAAAGGTTGTTATACAGACTTTCACGTGGATTTTGGTGGGACGTCCGTGTGGTATCATATATTAAAAGGTAAAAGAACATTTCTTTCAACAAGTATCCAAAAATCTTTCATTTGGTTTATTAGTTTACGTTCGTAGTACTTGGGTTACATTTTATTTCCTTTTAGGCGGCAAAGTGTTTTGGTTAATTCCGCCCACAGAACACAATCTAGAACAATACGAACGTTGGGTCCTCTCCGGAAAGCAGTCAGACATTTTCTTCGGAGATACGGTAGAAAAATGCGCCAGGATTGTTTTACAGGAAGGCAACACGTTTTTCATACCTACAGGCTGGATCCACGCTGTATATACTCCTAAGGATTCTTTGGTATTTGGTGGAAATTTTTTACATTCATATGGAATAGACAAGCAGCTAAAAATCGCGCAAGTTGAAGATGCCACAAAGGTAATTATTTAAATATATATTTTTTAATCGTTGAAACTTGAGTCTTCTTGTCCTAGTTCTTGGTTATCTTAGATTAATTTAATGATTCATTGGTAATCACTGGGTCCTCTTTTTATTGTTACTGGTACCATTCTTCTTATCAGAAAATCTACACAAAAAAATGTAATGTTATTTTAGGTTCCACAAAAATTCCGTTATCCATTCTTCACGGAAATGTTATGGTATGTACTAGAAAGGTACGTACACTGCTTATTAGGCAATTCTCACTTAACAACAGGTCAAGATGCTCCTATACCTCCAGACAGGCAGCATATACACCTAACGCAAGCCGAACTGCATGGTTTAAAAGTGAGTCACAAGCCCTTTAAAATATTCAAGTACCCTAACCGATGATTTTCTTTTTTTAGGAAATAGTATTGTACCTCCACATGTTACCAGCACATAAGAAAAGTGTTCCGGATTTATTAAAGGACCCAATATCTTTGATACAGGATGTCAGGACACTCATTGGACTTCACCGACAGGATAACAGGGAAATGGCAGTAACCGGGCGACCCGTTTTGACAGGTAATTTTCGATTTTTAATAAGCATTCTTTTGTGAAAACTATTAGAATTTGATTTCGAATACAAACTTATTGATTCTACAAAAATATACAAAATAAAAGTTATTGTTATATTTTGATTTTATTAGTTCCAGAAGACACGGATAATAAATCAAAGATACCTAGTGCCAGAGGACCTTACAATAAATCTAATATTACTAAACCAGGGAAACCGTCAGGCGTGTTTAAAGGACCTAGGGCACATGGAGAAAAGGGTGGTCCTCGGCGAAGACGAACAAGGTACAACCATTTTTTTTTTTAATTCTAGAATTACTGTAAGTCCCTCAGTATTGCCTTAGTGCCGATAAAAAAATTCTTGTCCTTATCTTTTAACACTCCAAAAACGCAAAAAAATGGTCTGGTTGCCTGAGCGTATGTATGTATGAGCGCCGATGCGAAAACTCTAGAACGAAAGGACCGATCGACTTGCGGTTTTGACTTTATAATTTCTTCGAGCTGAGAACCCTATTTTCGATTTAACTTTACTGCTTTAAATATTAGTGTTTTTAAAATGCAATGCAATTTCACTAGATAGCCATGCTTAATATTTTAAATTTTTTTAAATTTTATTTGAGTTATTATTTATTTTATTGTAATTAAAAGTTTTTAAATAAATGTGGATCTAACACGAATAACATACGGGATGGTGAAGTGGAGGTGATTTTTGCAAGAGTTTTAATTAATTCCAGAATGGAACGCGTCTAAATTCGGTATTAAGATCAAGATGGTAAAGGACCAAAATATTATTTTTATATAGGCAAATATCCCAAATATTTTTACACAAATGATCTTAAGGGGTACAAGACCAAATACATTTAGATGGGCAGACGTAGAGGGGCCTAAGTCGGACAAGCTTAAGAGATAAAACGTGCAAATATTTTTAGATGGGCAGGCTTAAGGAGTAAAAGGTCCAAATATGTTTTACATATTGTTTAGGCTTAAAGGGTAAATAGCCCAAATATTTGTACACCTAGGTACAGGCGTAACTTGTAAAGACACCAAATATTTTTACATAAACAGGCTTAAGGTATAAATGGGCCAAATGTTATTATATAGGCAGACTTAATGGACGAAGGGCCCAAATATTGTTACGTGGGTATGTTTAAGGGGTAATTGGACCAAATATTTTTACATGGGCAGACCTAAGGTATAAATGGACCAAATTTTATATGGGAAAGCTTAAGAGGCAAAGGGTATAAATATTTTTATGTGGATATGCCTCGAGAGATAAAGAAGACCAAATATTTTTACATGGGCAGGTTTAAGGTATAAATAGGCCAAATGTTATTATATGGACAGGCTTAGGAGGTAAATGGTCTAAATATTTTTACATGGACCGGATTAAGGTATACATATATTGTATACATATATGGTATATAAGGTTAAGGGTCTTTTACCCAACAAATTTCGCCAAATCTGATCAAAAAACAAACCTGAAAATTTAACGTATCAATACTCATCGTCTTTCGCATGATAATAATTAGTAAGGAAGCTACATATACAGGGTGATACATCGAAAACGTAACAGCTTGAATGTCTTAAAGGATTTTTTAAAGCCACACATTTCGATTTTTATGTCATTCCCTTTAGCTCAACTCTAACCAATACACTTTAAATAGGGAAAGTACAAAGTATAACACATCATTTAAAAAGGAATTTTATGATGAATTTAGTAATATAGTTGTTCATTGCGTTACATTTGATTTTAGCGTCTTCTCGCGGGATAAATAGTTGTTACTTATTGTAAAGTGTGATACTTTATTTTAAAGCTAATTTTATTAGTAATTTAATGAACTCAATTTAAAAACCTTGCAGAGTCCTAACATTAATAAATACAAACTTATTAGTTTGCAGTAGATTCTGAAAGTATCTAAATACGTTTTAATTCCACTCTTGTTAGACATTCTTGTACGGATTTGTGACTGTTTCTTATGTGTACAATCTTTGAACGTCTCAATGCTTCTATTGCGAAATCAGTGCATGTTCAGACAAGAATCCTGTTATCTTTATCTTTGTCGGTTATAAGCAGGTAGGGTTTGATTTGGCCCAGAACACTACGGGCTATTATATTCCCCTACTTTCCCCGTGCTCGGGTACTATCTTTGGAATAGTCCTGTGCCTTTTAAATTTACTAAGTTCCCTACCAAGTGTTCCTGGAATGTTCTTTCCGGTTCTAGGTTGAAAAGGATGAGACGCTGCTTAGCAAGAGTTCGCATTCGAAGATCACGTTGTATGAGGTTTCTTCCTGTTATACTCGGCTTAGTAATATTCTAGGAAAACCATTCTATTGTTTTTTTAAAGGTTTAACTGGCTATGTGAGGGATATTGGGATTGTGTACTCACTTCAATAAGTTGTTTCAATAAAAATATATATTTATTTGTTTAGATGCAAAAAATGTGAAGCTTGTCAAAGAAGCGATTGCGGCGAGTGCAGTTTTTGTTTGGACATGGTCAAATTCGGTGGTCCAGGTAGAGCCAAACAAACATGTAATATGCGACAGTGTTTGCAACCAATGTTACCAGTGACAGCGGCGTGTTCGCACTGCGGACTCGATGGATGGATGCAAACGCCCGTAACCCCTTTGCAGAAAGGTCCGCAGAGGTGCGAGAGTGCCAGTAATTTAATGGAATGTTCGGTAAGTGTACGATTTTTTATTAATTATAAATACATGTTATTTCCAGTTTTTTTAGCATCGTCACACAAAAGAGAAATACAGTGACGACGTATAGGTTGGAATGACGTCAGCACTTTTGTGAACCTGACGTCAGCGTTTTTTTATAGAACAATATATTTTTCTCTCTATTTTTAAATTATCCACTAATAGACGATTGCAAAAATGTATGTAATACTTATTCCAAAGTCATTAGTTTGTGAATTAGAGACAAAATTAAATATTATATATTAGAAATTTTGAATCTTAAATTTTATTGAAAGGACTAGACTAATAAACATGGTAGGTTTTTATTAATATCGTTTTCTAGAGTGTTGGAGGAATTTAGAAACCGACTTGGTTATTGCCAGTAAGTCACCGGCATGCACTTTCAACATTTAATTCAATTATTTAATGTATTCTGTTAATTACATTTTTATAATCATATATTATTGGGGAATTCAAAAACGAAGAGAAAAATATGTTGTTCAATTTAAAAAAAATTAAGTCATGTACACGAAAGTGGTGACGTCATTAGTACATCCTCTAGCGTAAGACGCACAGATGAAAGCATTTTGTTAAAATATTATTAGACAGAAAAATAGCGATGGTCCAAGAATTGATTCCTGTGGTACGCCCGCCTGGAATAATTTTGTTTCCAATCTTTTATGATATCGATTCATTAAGTAGTTTGATAGCCAATCTAGTCCCTTGCCCCTTATACCATAGTACATAAGTTTATTTAACAAGTTATGACTGACACAGTCAAATCTCTTCGAGTGGTTACAGCAGCACATTGCAGATAGCATATCTCCATTTTCAAAGGCATTGACTATATCAGTCACCAGCTTTGTGATTGCGTTCATTGTAGAAAGCTTTTTCTGAAGCCCAATTGTTGTTTGTTTAGTAGATTATACAGGTTGAATCCTAAGTTTTTTAACTGTATATAGAAGTCATTAAAATAAACATTTTTTTCAAATAACTTAAAAAAACTGAAAAATAAGAAACTTATAATAATTTAATCTAAAATGTATCCAATACGGTCCTGTATAACTTTCGTCAAAAAATTAATTACATTCATGGCGTTGTAAGAACCATTCACAAAACTGAACTTTGCAAAGGATAATACATTCGAGTTGAACGTGAAAGGTATACAATTATTGATTTTTCCTACGACCACTTAGGAAAGTGACACATATCAAACTATTGAAAGTGCCCTATATCACACGCGTATGAATAAGAATTTACTTTCCACCCGTGCACGGTGTACTATAAGGTGTATCAACTCCTATTTAAAAACAAATGAAAACGGCGATAAAACCGATCGTACTTCCTAGCTAAAATCCGCTAGGTTCGCTAGTATCTATCCGGCGAGAAAGTAAATAAAAGATGAAGGTGGTAGGAGCTGCAATTTGAAAAGTGTTGACAGATAAATATTTTTTAAAATCTAAAAATATATAAATCATGGTGGATCGTTGAGCTGTTTTTAATTGTGATTATGGGAGAGAGTCTTCAACATATTGATAGCAGTTTTATAATGCCAAAAAACAGTTATACAGAATATGGTGCAATTATTTAGGTGGTATGGAAATAAACATTAAACCCAAAAGTTCCATTTGTGAAAAACATTTTAATGTAAATTATGTTATCCGTGAAAAAGTGCTAAGAAATCTACTAGGAAACGTTATTTTTCAAGTAAATATGTTTAATGTCTACCTTTTAAATGATTGTAGGTTATGTAAATAGGTTATTCAACTTTGTCTTTTCTGTAATAAAAATAATTATTTGTATAAAGTTTTACTATATAAATATTTCGTATTATTTATCCTGTCCCCTGGGTACTAATAATGTTATGACTTGGACCCTATTATAATGTGTTCATGGTATAAATTTCATATACACAAGGTACCTATTTCTTTTGATATTTTTCTGACCCTGTGAATAAATAAAATCTTTGACTTATTCCTTTTAGCCTGATTATAATGCTAGAAAGTTGTATCTGGTTATAAGAATCAAATAGATACTATGATAAATTTATTTTACTTGTAGCCTTTTTATTTTCAAGTGTTTAAATATACATTTGTTTAATAATAATCATCCCCGAATGTGTTTTGTTCCAGTTCTTTAAATGTATTTACTAGGTTTTTATAGAAGTACTGATTTTAAATTAATACAAATTTGAGTTGTAAGAAATATTTAAGATTTTTCAATTCTGTATTTTTATAGGAGTTAATCCCTTTAAGTAAATAAATGTAGTTTGGGGTCGTAGATGTTGGTATTTGTGTATTGAATAATTTGTACATACACTGGTTAATAATTTAAACAATGTTTTTTCTGATGTACCTAATAATTATTTAAGGTTATTTTGTAGTTGAGGAGTCTAGAAATCCGCATATTCACACCATTCCGCACTGAATGAAGTCTAGAATTTGACACAAATTTGAAGTTAAAAATAACGATCCTATTACTTGAAAATCTACAATTTTTTTATTTTTAATCGATGAAAAAATTGGTAAATACATGATAAAAAGTAAAAGTTATTTCAATATGCTTATTCCCTGGTTCCAAATAATTAAATATAACCTTGCAACTATATGTTACGATTCCAACTATCAGAACTAGCCGGAACAAGAATGGTGCATTTCCAGACCCTTCAATTATAAGATTACCATTATTTAATGTGCAGTGCAAATATAAAAAAAACTACCTAAAAAATGCTGTTCCTGCTTTTATTACTTATGATGGGACTACTTCTCAAAGGAGACGAGAATGTGGAAAGTATTGCTGATACAGTTATCGAAGTTATCCACTGGAGGTGAAGTGTTAATCTTTTAGGAATATAGGAAATATTTTTTTATACCTAACAACTTAATATTTATTTATTGATAAGTTATAGATACTATGTATTTGAAATTCAGATTATTCATTATGACAGCAGCATTCTTATTGTATTCGGATTCTAACACAAATAAAACATCTCATTAAATTTTTGTTAAATTTATTAATTTTACACTAGAAAGAAAATTAACAATACACACAAAATTATTTAAAATTAGAAATAAATACAATTTACACATTTCCCATTATTACACTTTTATTTTCTTAATTTATTCATTTCTTATATTAACAATTTCAATTAATAATATAGTTCATTATTTAATTGGAACTAATTTTATAATTTTACTAATTATTTTTTTATATTTATTTGCGGAAAATGAAATATTAAATAAAAGCATAGGAATTGTTCTATTGGATAATAGCAGTAATGAAAAAATAAGTAGGAAAATTTCAAATGTATAGTTTCTAGATTTATTATGAGTTTTTTATATTAATGTACTCAATAAGTAGGTTTATTATGTTCGCTTGTACACGTCACAGCAGCAGACAGTAACAAACCTGGCAACACTTCTGATTTCAGAAAAATATTACAACAATTTGTTTTACATTATATATTTCAATAATATAATATAATAATCATTTATATTTAATTAATGACAAGGTTTACCTTTTAAATAAAACTATATGAGCCCTGTCCCGTTTCAATTAGCACACTTCTCATATTTATAGTGACTGTCACTACTAGAACAAATCATACATAAATCTGATAAATTCTTTTATTTTTTTAACCCTTTCACTTCCACTTTCATTAAAAAAAATACCATTGTAGTAGATTGTATGTTTTCTTTGTTTATTTTAAGTAAATTAAAATATTTTCATAGTATTTTTTATTACTCCAAGACATAACGTCCCTGTTCAGGGACATTACAAAAACAAAAATTTACTATGAAAATAATTTTTTTATAATATTAATCCTTAAAAGTAATGCAAATAAAGTAAATAAACCAAAAAGAAAAAAATTCTACCAAAATTAACAGATTTATACTTCAGGGTTAATTAAGAGTGTCCCTCTGGAGGGACAAATACACTGAAAGGGTTAAATATTTACAAATTTTCATGAGTGTTTCATCACCTTTAACTTTGATAATGGCAATAATTCATTAAAACATTGTATTTACAAGTTCTTGAAAATCTTGTGCAGGGAACCTACTCCATATTTTTAGATTACCCATTTGAATTAATTCTGGCAGTGATCTTGTGGGTGCTGCTTAAAAATTATCACCCCATATACAAAAAAGCATCTTTATTAAATGAACAAGAAACTAAAAAAAAAACAAGCATTATTAAAAACTACAAAAAGTGCATCATTTGAAAATCCATATTCAAGCTCCAGATTTGTAAAATTAAAAAAATTCCAAATACACATTTAACTTGTTTGATTATTTATTGAATAAAAGGTCTGTTCCAACGATCAGAAACAAACCACTGGGTAGTACACAATTTTGCAGTCTCAATAAACTACTGTGCAGAATCCTGATGTCAGTAACTCATTTCTGAGCATTGTTGGAACAAACCTAAAGTAAATCGAAACCACTTAAAAACTAGCACAACATTTATACTCGAGCAAATTTTTAATTCCTATCAAAATTTTTAATTACTGAATATTTTGTTCTAGTTATATTAAAATTTAAAAGTTCTTACTCTTCATTATAATTATATTTTTTATTTTCCCTATATACCTACATACTATCTCTAACATTTTACAAATTTGATGCCTAATTAAAGATTTCATCTAGCATTGCAGAACATAAAACGTTTTTCACATTTGTATAAATCTTCTACATCTGTCATATTAGGATAACAAGATTGTATCTAGACAGCTAGTTATTTTTTGGAGTTGATGTTTGTATAGCCATTAACTTGTTTGATTTTCATTGTGTTTCTAACTCTAATTTAAGAGAAAATCTTAAGTGATAAAAAATGCAGAAAGAACTAAGCGACCTACATTTTTTAGAATATTTGATAAAGCATAGTAGTAACTGCCAGTTAAAACTGTGTTTCTAGTATTTAGTTTAGGTAACAGAGACAAGGCTTGGAACAGAAAATACATACTTTTGTTAATTCAGAATTTTTAAATGTTGTTTTAT